GTAATCATTGCATTTTAACACTTAAAAAAAAAAATATATATTTGCCATTAGATTTGCCAAATGCAGTACATAATTTTATTTCTCAATTCTTACTTCAATCGGTGTTAATTTTAGAGCAAGGGGAATTTCATCCTTGACAACTTGAATATTTTCACTATTCATCATGGTATTGCTTACTGGCCAAATGGTGAGGATTTATATTTTCTTAATATTGAGGTTCAATCCATATTGAAAATTATGATTTTTTATTTTCATCAGTAAGTGCTTCAAATCCTCTATACTTCCAGCCAGGTAGATCCTGTTATCTGCATATAGTAGGGTGTTGGCAATTTATAATGCAGAAATTGTTCAAGTTGGAAGGAAACTTACACTTACTTTAACAATCACTTATTTTTAAAGAAATGTAATTAACTCTAATGCATTTACACATCTAATTAGAAAAACTGAAGGCCTGTTTTGTTACATGGTTGAGAACAATAACTTTCCTTATTAGCCCAATGGTTATATAACTCCTTTAGAAAGAATCAGAAATGTCTATATGTGATCTTTCCATTTCCTTTGTAGATCACTTGGTATAATGTTTAAGCAATGAAAACATGAAAAATGCATATTTCAGTCATATTTTATCATAATCATAGGCAAAAATGTAATTAGAAACTAGAATAAGATTTACCCTTGACAGTTACCAAGATATGGAGAGTATTTCTTCTTCTTCCCCCACCCTAATTTCTGTCTTTTTCATATGGTCAATGTCAAACATACAGTATATGAAGATTTTTTAATTTTTTTGTAGCAATTAGGTACTTCAACTATATAGAGAAAAACAAAAGTTGGTTTATGAGAGAAAATAATCATTGACCTACCTTATATTTTATGATATGACAAAATTAAAATTTCTTTAGTGTATTATCATAAAGGAAAAAGTACATTTAAATGTTTTTAGAAAAAAATAGATAGCTATTGAATTTTCTCAAAAAATATATATATTGCTAAGGAAAGATTCTATAACCTTCCCTTTCATGCCAATGAATTAATAAATAATCATCCAGAAAAAGGAAATAAGAAACTTCTAAAGTGCTATTTCTCCACTTATTTTCTGACATTTTTATTACCTATTGGACACAATTGTCTAGGTACACAAATTCAGGAGCATAGTTGGAAAGCATTTATTATTTGTTGTTGTTGTTATTATGTGCTGTCGAGTCAAACCCGACTCAGCAAATATTTACATAAAGAGGATTTATACATACATCTAGCTGGGCACACACATTAATCAATTACTTTCTTATGTAATTATTTATTTAATCATTGTAAACATTCAAAAGTACTCACTCTTTCCTATTCACTTAATATTTGGTTTAAACTATTTCCCTAAATGTTTAAAATTGCACACCACATTAACAACATTACTCACTGTCATTGAGTCAGTTCTGACTCATGGTGACTTCTCCTTGGGTTTCATACTGTGGTATCACTATGGAAGTAGATTGCCCAACCTTCCTTCTGAGGAGTGGCTGGTGGGGTTGAATCACCAGGCTTCAGGTTAGCAGTCAAGTGCCTTAAGGACTACGCTACCAGAGGTCCTTTAACAGCATTATAAACACTAATTTTTCATCTGATATTAGAAAGTGAATAATTTATCGTACAGTTTTCCTGTCTTCTTAGTTTTAAATTTCATTACCAATTTGAAGTTCCCACAAGAAGAAAGTAAAATGATCCAATTGACCAAAATACAATAGGAAAGACAATCAAACACCTTATTTATATATAAATCTCCTATTGGAGTTTATTCTATAACTCACATTATGCCAATTCTCTCCTTGGGGCAGCAATTAGCATTATAAATAGAATATGTTTCTCATCTTGAAAAACCTAAATAACTGCCAACTTAATAATGGGTACTCATTGTATAATTAATGTTTTCATATAATTTGAAAAAGAAAACTAAATTGTAGAGAGTGACAATTTATTTTTCCTTGTAATGTTCTAACTGAAGAAAAATGAAATGTTTTCATAGAATTGCATTATAATGAAAAACTAAATAATAAATTATGATCATATTATTGCCTTTCCCATCATTGAAATAAGCATTCCAGAACAATACAATTATATATCCATTTTCAATATTTTGTATCCTTCACAATAGGTTAATTCTAAAAGTAT